GGGGTGTTGACAACAGAAAGGGACCACATTTCAGACAGAAAGGCCAGTCAGTGATAGCAAATATGTGGAGGGAAATAAGGATGGGGGCAGGAAGGGCCCAAAGGTCAGGAGAAACAGACAGGGAGAGCCTTACATATATCAGATTAAGGAGCCTGGACCATATCCTGTGATGCTGCTGAAACATTTTAAATAGGAGAGACATATGGTCAGACTTAATTTACAAATATTGTGCTAGCAGAGGTATGGAGGGTGGATTGATGTGACATATCGGGAAACAAGAAGACCAGAGAAAATAATCAAGGTTAAAGCAGAATAATACAGGGGAAAGACAAATGAGCACCTGAATTAGTAAGTTTGGGAGAGAAGCAACAGACTTAAGGGCTTTGGATGCAAAGGGATGAGGGCAAAGCAAAAATGAAGGAAGGCTCTCTAGCGTCTAGCTCAGGTGACTATGTGGCTGATGGTATCACCAATTAAATGCTAAATTCCGAAGGAAGAGAAGGGCTGAGTGAAGAAGCGGGTGAGTTCCGTTTACTCTACCATATCTGTGGGATACACTGAAATAGAGTTATCTAGGAATCTATTAGAAATAAAAACTAAAGTTCTGGGGAGAGATTTAAGCTAGACATGCAGACTTGGGTGTTACTGGCATATAGGTTATAATTAAAACCAGGGGAACAGATGAGATCACCCAGGGAGAATAGGAATAGAGAAAAGGACAGAAATCCAAGGACTAAACTCTGGAATGGGTTAGGAAAGCTTTGGTCATATTGTCTTGTACATTTTTCTGGGACTTTGGAGTTTACCAATTGCTTTTATATCTCTTATCTTACTCAACTCTCATCTGAGGTGTTCTGTAAACTAACTGGTAAAGTCAGGTGTGATTGTGCCGATGCCAAGACTGCAATAGATCCAATCCACTGAATGAGCAGGAGGTGGGAGCCAGCAGTCCCCCCCTTATATCCTTCACAGAGGATATTCCCAGCTGTTGACTGAGAGCCCTAGGTTAGCGTGACCCAGTATGAATTCTTAAAAGGACTTGAAATCCTTGCCTAGACTTCTGGTGAAGAGCTTGGCCGGCCTGTGGCCTGCTTTGGAAGGGCTGTGGAGGAGCAGTGGCAGAGCTGACAGGAGCCTGCCTGCCTGCCTCTGTGGGTCCTGAAGACAGCAGTCCATTAGTCCCGCCTGACCAAGGGCCGCAGGCTAGGAGGAGAGGCATCCTTTCCAGAGACAGAAATAAGGCAGCAACAGAATTTTCTTCTCCCTGAATGCCTGTGGTCAGCAGGAGGCATTAAGGCTGGGCTGGGCCTGTAAGGAGGTCTGTATCGCAGAGGCAGATGGATAGTCTAAGCAGGATGCGGAAATGCCACACGCCAGCAGAGTAGAATCTGTTCTGAGGTTTGAACCTTGCAAAGAATAGTTCTTTCTCCTCTTTTAGACTTGAGGATATGGCTTTTGATAAGCGATTTTATTTATTCTTGTGATGGTCCTGTCTCATTTTCATGTGGTGAAACCACTCCAAAGTAACTTCCCCTTGTAAAGGTCACTTACAGTAAGTGATGTGCTCCAGGTACGTCTTGCACTGAAAACAAACCATCGCGGGACTTCCGTTACCTCTCATATCTAAGAGCCTGGTACTCTAAGTTTGTATCCACTAGAGTATATTTTCTTGATTTGGCACAGATGATATGAGTGATGGATACATAAAGTCTGTACTAACTACTATTTATAAAATAAAATATGAGTCTCTCAAAGGCAGTTTGGAAAATTCAGGGCCCTCCTAAGAGATAAATGAAAACACCATCAGTAGACCTGCAACCCTGAGGAAGTCCATCTTAAAGTTACTAGGCCTGTGGACAGGGATGAAACGGACAAACCTCAAGTACTTTGCCCTAGTCCAGAGCAGGGAATTGACTTTTTCTCTGAGAAGGCACTTTAGAGGCCAAAGGAAAACAAAGATTGAAAATAAATTCCTCTCTGAAAGGGTATAAACTTGCTGTGGAAAAGATTTCAGAAGTCTTCAGGCTAATGAATCTTTCTCCCCAGCCTAGTTTCATGCTGAGGCTCTGTGCCCAAATTCTAACAAAGAACCAGCTTCTGGTGGTGGCTAGAATTATTCATTTATAACTCCCCTCCCCATTTGTGGATTATCAATGACAACGTCTAAATGAACAGTTGGTTCCCCTTTGTGCCTCATTCACCAACCTGTACATTCCCAAAGACTACCAATTTTTATTTTCAACCCAGGTTAAACATACTCAGAAACCTGATGCCAAGTGCCACCCCAAATCCCAAAGTTAAATATAAATGATTTGGGGGTTGTCTATTGTTTTAGAGAATTCCTGGCAAGCTCCCTACAGAAAAATGAGAGTTGACCTCATTAAAAAATCATGTCATAACCACTGGCCCATTTTCTTTCTAGTTTTGGTGATGATATCCTTATATCAGGAAAGCAGAATTAAACTGTCAGATTCCTGAAGCACTTCGCCTTTGTACTTACCTGTGGAAATTGCTGAGTGGGAAGGGTCAGTGAACTGGGGCTCCAGGATTTGGTTCAACTTTGGCAGCCTGACAGAAACCATCCCCTGCCTTCCCACTGCTTTTTATGCAGCCCTGAGCTGTTAATGACCAACAGCTGTGGGGCCACCCCTCTGATCCTTTTTTGCCTGGCCTCCCGGATCTTCAGTTCTTTCAGGGCTACGGGGCTTCTATATTCTCCTGCTCCCTGGCTTCCTCTGCCTCAAGGATCTCCACCTCCCAGAGTGTTGCCAACTCAGCAGGAGTTTCCCTGGTGTGAGTTCTTTTGCTTTATGGCAACTGAGCTCTCACGTTTCTAATCTGGAAGCACCCTGAAATTAAGGTGCAAAAAACTGAATTTTGGAGACCAAAGGGATTTAGTGAAATTGAATTTCAGGTATTGTCTAGGTCTTCTTGGAGTTGATCGTGCTGTGTGGGGGCCTCCTGTCCATGGCTTTGGAGCAGTTTGATAATTTGAAATATCACTTAGCCATGATAGGTCCCTGGTACAGCCAGGATCCAGCAGATTTCTGAACTAGGTCTCCATCCAGTGCCATTCTCGAAGTTGAATCAACTCCACTTACAAGCGATGTGACCTTGGGCAAGTTATTTAACCTCTTTGGGCCTCAGTTTCCTCAGATGTAAAATGGGAGCAATGATACTCCAGAGTGTTAATATAAACTTTAAATGAGATTTTTGTGTAACACGTGGTAGATGCTCAATGAATTTCAGTCCCTTAACCCTACCCTTTACATTTTAAAGGGAATCTATTCACCTGCCTCACCTCTTGCTTAGTAGGCGGGGTGAGGCTTGGGTTGGTACCTCTAGGGTACCTCTAGGAAAGATGTTGGGTAATAGGAAGTCACAGGGATTGGTCTCTCTTTCTCAGATCCTAGGTTACACTGGTAAGACCAATAGATCCTGTCTGAATTCAGCTCCACTTCAGAGAATGCTTGCAAGTTCATTTCTGGGAAAAGCCTGTTAGTAAGCAAGACCAGGACTCCTCATTAACATACTGCAGCCCAGAACCTTGGAGATGACAGTAATTTAATCTTACACTATGGGGTAGAATGTGCTAGACCATATATCTGGATTTTGTATATGGCTCTCAAGAGCAGAAGTACTTGTCACAGAACATGACATTACCAGGTCCATAGTCTAGATTTGCACAACTCCCAACTCTTTGCAGCAGGAATCCTCTTATTCATGTCTATTTCCCTTAAGTACCAACCATATTGCATATTGAAAGTGCTCATTAAATTGGATTAAATTAACTCAGCATCCCGGAGTATGACACTGAAGAAAAAGAAAGTAACTTGACACTGCTAGAGCACAAGATCTAGACTGACTAAAAGAACCAGGAAGAAACCAAAGCTGAGCAGAATCTTTTCTATGTACCAGACTTTGCTCTATGTACCACATAACTTTTATCTGTGGACTTTCGCCGTCTGTTAGAAAACGGTCATTTCACTCAAGAAGACTATCTTAGAAATATGTTGTTAGTAGTGTAACTGGCTAGAACAGTGGCTGGAATAGATAGTCTTGTTCTTGAAGCCATGCCTAGTTACCAGCAAGAGGTAACCCCCTCCCCCCAACCACCACCCCCCCCCCCCCCCACCCCCACCCCCCCCCCCCACCCCCGGGATGTGTTAGGAAGACAGCAGTGTGTTACCAGACATTCTGTGCTATCTGGGAAGAGTGCTATTGCTTAGAATTTAACTTTCTCAGTCAATTATTACCTCCTCTTTGTTTTGTCCTCGATGTTTATAGAGTATTTGCTACTGTTAATTCATTTATTAAAATCCCCCTTTCCCTTAAGGCATAGTTTTGTTACTTTCCAGCTCATCATTAGTATGTTTGTTTGTTTGTTTTGTTTTGGTTTTGACTGAGAGCTGAAATGGAAGTGTTCTGAACTGGAGGAGAGAGGAGTAGAGAAAGTGATTTAATCTTAGAATGGATCGGGGTGTTAATAGACTGCTGATGAGGTTGTCTCCGCCACTAAATTTTAACTCCTGAGGGCAGAGACTGTGTCTTATTCGTTTGTGTATCCCCCTGCCTAGTGGAGTTCCATGGTGGCTGTTTAATAAATACTTACTGATTAATAAATGAGTCAAATATAACCAGCGTTGCATAAAGTTATAGGTGTAAAATTGGTAGTGTAGGTAATATGCACCAGAGAATCTCTGAAGAAGAAGAAATCACCTTGGGCCAGGATGGTCAAGGAAACTTCTGCGGAAGGAATAAGAAAGTTCCACGGAAGAATTTAACTCTCTGGACAGAGATGGGATAGAATGTGGAAAGGGTATGGGCTTCCAAATCACTTATACTCTGTGAACCTCAATTTCTCCTCTATCTAAACATTTATATTTAAAAAATGGGAATAGTAAACATATCATAAGTAAAGAGTAAATGAGATAGCTATATAAAGTAATTAGTACAGAGTGTGATGCACACAAAAGAATTTTCTTCCCTTTGTAAGTTACCTTTCTTTTACTAGCCTGTATAGTCATCCCATTGGATTTGAAAGCTGTCCTGACAGTATTCTGGAGTCCATGGTGTCATTTCCTTCACCAACCAAAGAGCTTTCTAGACATCAGTGGAGATATTCCCCTGGTGGAAGATACTTCAGAGAGGATTTGTTCCTTCTCTAAGAAAAAATGAGATAAATAAGCATGCTAAATACTTTCTATTTTCAAACCTTGAGCACATACGACCATGTTGGATATGGGACACCTTTACTAGGCAATGCATCTCCAAATTTATTTCCATTTCCACCTTGAAGAACTTTATTATGGGAAGAGCTCTTGGAGACAATTTAGTACATCTCTTTTATTTTACATATTAAAAACCCCTCAGCCCAGAGCAATTAAGTGATTTACTCAGCTAGTTAGTGGAAGAATTGTGAACTATACTTGGGGGCTTTTGATTTCTTACCCAGTGCTCTTTACAACATATCAGGCTATTTCACATTTTCATCAAGGCTGGCAACTCAGTGTTTTTGGGGCGAGGGATTTCAGAGACGTCCTATATGTGAGCTCTGGCTTGTCTATCAAATGACTAGGAGGATCAAGTGATTAATACAAATATAAGATATTCCTGATAAATTCATGATTCCTGACTTTTGCAATATTGGTTATTCTAGATGACTTCTTGGTCCTGCAAGATGACATTTTGTTATTTCCCAAGATATTCACTTTTTCCAAGTTTGAACACATTGTTAACATCTTCTAATTTTATATTCCAAATTTCGATTAAATTTTATCTGGAGACTCTGGGAGGGCTCACGCCAAGGAGTACTTCCCAGAACTTCTGCTGTCAGTGTCCTTGTCCCCACCGTGAGCCACAGCCACCCCCCGCCTCTGCAGGAGACCCCCCCAACACCAGCAGGAGGAGTCATTAATGAATTAATGTACCAAGTGAATCTCAGATATGTGGAGTGAAAAATATCTGTACTGACACCCTCCGGCGACCTACACGCAGAGGCGGGGCCAAATCCAAAGCTGAGCCCCTGGGAGCTGTGAGAACAAAGAAGAGAAAGGGAAATCTCTCCCAGCAGCCTCAGAAGCAGCGGATTAAAGCTCCACAATCAACTTGATGTACCCTGCATCTGTAGAATACATGAATAGACAACGAATCATCCCAAATTGAGGAGGTGGACTTTGAGAGCAAGATTTATTATTTTTTCCCCTTTTCCTCTTCTTGTGAGTGTGTATTGTGTATGCTTCTGTGTGAGAATTTGTCTGTATAGCTTTGCTTCCACCATTTGTCCTAGGGTTCTATCTGTCCGTTTTCTTTTTTTTTTTTTGGATTTTTTCTTTTCAAAAAAATTTTTTTTTCTTAATAATTATTTTTTATTTT